ACGAGGTTTTTGGGGTTTAAAAGGAGTCATTGAGCGGCCCCCCCTTGTGTTGCTGGATGTCGCCCCATGATTTGTACACTCTGATCTAGTCCTTGGAGTTGGGAGCTCAGCACTTCCTCCTCCCGCTGTGACCTTTGTAATTGTCTTCTGCTCTTTCAGACCCTCATCAGTCAATTTTTCCAGCAGATCACTCAATCTATGGAGCTCCTCGAGGGAGTGACAAATGACCTTCTTGCTGCTAAATAACAAGACCTTTGCTCGCCTCTAATTATACATGATCTTTACCGCGCCCTTTGGCTCAGGATTGGCCTCTGTGTCTTCACGCTCTTCCTTTCTATCTCTTCACGTGGATTATGGGGCCCCAGCAGCCAGAACCCTATTTTTGGTAACAAAAATTTTGGTGCTGCAGTTTTGGGTGCATCGGTGACGGCTCCAACAGAATTTCCACCCAAGAAGGTTGAAGCTGACCTTCAGCCTTCCCTTGTTTGCACAGGTGTACCAGCTCCTCCCCTTCAGTCTCACACAGGTGTACAAGCCCCTCCCCTTCAGTCTTGCACAGGTGTACCAGCTCCTCCCCTTCAGTCTTGCACAGATGTACTTGCTCCTCCCCTTCACTCTTGCACCGGTTTGTACTGGCTCCTCCCTTTACTCTTGCACAGGTGTACCTGTTCCTCCCTTCAGTCTTGCACAGGTGTACTGGCTCCTCCCCTTCACTCTTGCACAGGTGTACTGGCTCTTCCCCTTCACTCTTGCACAGGTTGTACCGGCTCCTCCCTTCAGTCTTGCACAGGTGTACCGGCTCCTCCCCTTCAGTCTTGCAAAGGTGTACCTGCTCCTCCCTTCAGTCTTGCACAGGTGTACTGCTCCTCCCCTTCAGTCTTGCACAGGGGTACGGCTCCTCCCCTCCAGTCTTGCACAGGTTGTACCAGCTCCTCCCTTCAGTCTTGCACAGGTGTATCAGCTCCTCCCCTTCAGGCTTGCACAGGTGTATGGCTCCTCCCCTTCAGTCTTGCACAGGTGTACTGGCTCCTCCCCTTCTAGTCTTGCACAGGTGTACTGGCTCCTCCCCTTTCAGTCTTGCACAGGTGTATCGACTTCTCCCCTTCAGTCTTGCACCGGTGTATCAGCTCCTCCCTTCAGTCTTGCACAGATGTATCGGCTCCTCCCCTTCAGTCTTGCACAGATGTATCGGCTCCTCCCCTTCAGTCTTGCACAGGTGTATCGGCTCCTCCTCTTCAGTCTTGCACAGGTGTATCGGCTCCTCCCCTGGACTGAAATGGCTTTACTCTGATATCACTGCATACTGTGAGCTTCTCTCAATGTGCATTAGAAGCCGCATATCAGATAGAGCTCCGCTCCTTTTCGGGCTGGAGGACGTCCAGCATCATCTAGCCAGTTCTGTGGTACATTTCATGTACATTTTCTGTGTTGAATTGAAATGCATCAGATTATTTATTGTTCAGTAGTATGCTAGTGGTGGTTTCACTACAACTTGTTTACTATGTGTTTTGGTAACTTACTCTGTCCTGCCCTCCCTTTGAGTACTAGTTAGTACAGTCTAGCCAGACCGTTCCCATTTTCCCTTAGTCAGTGTTAGTTATCCAAAGAGACAGGGTTCAGGAAAGTCATTTCGTATTCTTACACTTCAAAAGACTGGAAAAACATCCTTTGTACTGCAAACTAGCTGTTCCCATTGTGGCATGGTAAGGGGGAAAGTTGTAAGCAGGTGTTGGTCCCTTTTAGGGAAGCCCCTCCTTAACAATTGGAAGGGTTTTGAAGTTGTGCCCTATAAATGGGGTGGGGCCCCGGGTGGCGGGGCATGAGACAGGACCCCCCAGAGCGCTTATGTAGTCCTAACAGGCTGAGCAAAAGGGGCCCCCTTTGCGGGTAAATTCCCAGGGGGGGTGGTCAGATTGAAAAGGAAGGCTGTAGTCACCGTTTCCTGTCCTTTTTCTGTGGGACTTTGGGAGGCAGGAGGCCCCTTAGGGGGGCCTAGCAGGGTCCTCGTATGTGAAAAATGGGGGAAAGGGGGAATGGGACGTCTCTGGGAGCAGCCTGGTGGGCAGGACTATAAAAGGGGACTTTAGGAGGAGATGGTATATTAATAGAAGCCATTGTTCCCTGGACTCGCTGTGGGTCCGCGTTTGGTGAGGGAAAATTGGGGACTGTACAATATGGCGCCAACCCTGCCAATTTGTAGGCCCCCCTTACCAAGATCTATTAAAGAAAAAGTTTCCCCCGTTCCCGCTCCCCCTGGTGAGTTTTTTATGCCCGGGGGATGGATGGATGACAAAACAAATGACACTTGATGGCTTACAGTGGTCACATGATTGGGAGTGGGCCCGGCGACTCCCAATCATTAGTAAAGATCAAGAACTGACTTTTATCGCTTGGTCACTGTATGGGAGCATGCAGAGAACGTCTGCCACCCCTGGACTTCACTATATTTCCAAAAGTATTGGGTGCCCCCCAAATCATGTGATTAGGTGTTCCAATTTCCCCCCATTCATGTGATTCAGGTGTTCAATCCCCCCCAAATCGGGGATTGGTGTTCCCAAACCCCTCCATTATGTGATTAGGTGTTCCAATCCCCCCATATCATGTGATTCAGGTGTTCCAAACCCCTCCATTTGGTTCAGGCGTTCCAATCCCCCCCAAATATGTGATTCAGGTGTTCCCTCCCCCCATTATGGTTCAGGGTTCCCCTCCCCTCCCAATAAAGTGATTAGGGGTTTCCCAAACCCCTCCCTGCAGTGATTCAGGTGTTCCCAAACCTCTCCCTATCATTGATTCAGGTGTTCCAATCCTTCCCAATCAGTGATTAGGTGTTCCAATCCCCCCCAAATATGTGATTAGGTTTTTCCCAATCCCCCCCCTATATGGTTAGGTGTTCAATCCCTCCATATTATGTTAGGTGTTCCCAAACCCCCCCAATTCATGTGTTTTTGGTGTTCCACCCTCCCTATATGTGATTCGGTGTTCCAATCCCTCCATATCTGTGATTAGGTGTTCCAATCCCCCCATATCTGTGTTAGGTGTTCCAATCCCCCCCAGGACACAGGTGTATACAAACCATCCCCCGGGGATGAAGATGCTTCTAAAAATTGGTGAAAGAATGGGTCGCTTCAGGAGCTAGTGATCCCAAGCGGGGTCCCCCTGTAGGGGCCACTGGGCAAAGTCCTCCGTGACTTTTTCCCGGCTATAAATTTCCCCTCAAAATGTTTGTGGGGGTTATAACAAAATGGAAGCAAATGGGAAAAACAGCCCCTCAGCCCCCAATGGGTAGGCCCGTCACATGACAGGGCGGGGGGCAGCGCATGCTGAAGCGCACAGTGCGCGAAATACCAACTGTCTGCAGGTCAAAAGCTAAACCTCCAAAATTTGGGGTGGCCCTTCGATGAGCCAAAAAACGTGCGTTTTAGGCTTATGGAATGGGTTTCCGGGGGGGCCCAGCAGCTGCATCCAGCCCTTCCATCCCAAGTGCAAAGCAAAGCGGCGGTTTTTGTGGTGTTAAGAGCCGCCTGGATCTAGAGCGGGGGGATTGTTCTATGGAGGGCCAATCAACCTGAATAAACAAGGGTTTTATGTATTGCCATCTGTGCTGCTTTTGGCTGCTGAAGTGCGTTGGGTCGTGTGGGGACAGTAAAATTTAAGCAACCTGACGGCCAGAAAATGGTGATTGGCCCAAAAAAATCCAGATGTCAGTTTTGATACTTTTTTAAAATAGAAATGCAAAACGTGCGCATGCCCGCAACAGTCCCGAGGGGCTCCCCCGCGTTTCTGCGCTGTTTTCGAAAGTGCGTAATATTTTTAAAAAAATGGAAGCGGAGCTTGAGTCGCTGATTTATCTCCCCTGCTAATGAACTGTGGGACAAAAATATATTTCTGGATAATTGAAGCCCAAAACAGATTTATGAAAAATTTATAAAGTGTTTGTTGGAGCTAAAAGAGAAAAAACAGTTTTGCTTCAAAATCACTCCCGACTGGCATTACCCCCCCCCCCCCCCCCAGTCCCGATTATAATTGGGGGCACTCCTCCTCCAAGCTGAAAAAAAACCAATGCCATTCATCCCCCAAAAAAGGAGCTCCGTCCAGTGAGATTGCCTAGGCTAAGATGTGTCTCGTATGTTTAGGGGGGGATGTGGGGTGAAGAGTGGATTTTGCTGGGGGGGGATTTGTATTGGGGAAAGGGAAAAAATTTGGAGGGGAGGAGGTATTTGGCACAAGGGGGTAGGCTTGGGGGGGATGTTTTAGCGTGGGGGAGGTTTTGGAGGGGGAGAGAAACCCTGTGTTGGAGGGGGGGTTTTTTAAAGGGGGGGTGAGAGGAGGTTAGTGGAGGGGGAAATTTGGGGGGGGTATTTTGGCAAAAAGAATGATTTGGGGAGAGTGATTTGTGCTGGGGGGAGGGAATTTGGAGGGGAGGGGAGAATTAACGTGGGGGGGAATTGTGGGGGGAGGAGAATTTTGTCCCGGGATGGAAGGATTTTTTTGGGGGGGGGGGAAGTTTTGTAAAATGACTTGCTTGGAGGTGGAAGGGGGGGGGGGGGGGGGGGGAAAGGGGGGGGGAGAGGGTGGTGGTGGGTGGGGTTATGGGTGGGAGTGAGAAGGGGAAGTGGGGGGGAGGAGGATTGAAGCGCCGGGCGAGTGGGGGGGGGGCAGGGGAGAGGCGGGGGAAGGGGGTTTAGTCGGGGGGGGGGAGGGGGGGGAGGGGAGGGGGGAAAATTAAGTGCTAGGAGGGGTTTTTGGGGGGGGCAGGGGAAATTTTGTGGGGGGAAAAGGGTTTGGGGGTGCGAGGGCCCCTAAGTGTAGGAGGGGGGGAAATTTTTGGGGGAAAAGGGGGTTTTTGGTTTGGGAAAGGGGAAGGGGGGGTGGGGGGGCAGGGGGGCTAGGAGGGGGGGGTTTTTGGGGGGAGCGGGTTTTGGTGTTTGGGGAAAGGGAAGGGGGGTGGAGGGGGTTTAATTTGGGCGGGGGAGGGGTATTTGGGGGGCAGAGGTTTTTGGGGGGTGGTGGCATTTGGGGGTGCGAGGGGGGCAAAAATGCTGGAGGGGGTATTTGGGGGGGAGAGGATTTCCCGGGGAGGGTGGCTTTTGGGGGGTTTAAAGGATAAGTGTAGGGGTCAGAATTTGGGGAATTGAGCCCGTCCCCCCAAAATCTATTTTGTAAACACAGCAAAAAACTTTAAGGTTGTTGGTGAAATGCGGCGCCCCTTAAACCCCCTACGAGATGACCCCCACCTCGCAAAACGACTCGAGCGCTTTGGGCCGAAATTTTAGTTGGTGGAATGGGCCCTAAAAGACGTTTTAAATTAAACCCTTCCCGCCCCTCCCCCCGCCCCCCTGTCCCTAAGTAATGAAAAAAAAAGTCGAATCCTGATTTTTTCTTTTTTGAGGAACCCCTTGAATATTTCAAAATTTTCCCGTTTTCTCGAAATTTTTCTCATTCCCTTTGGGTTTCCCAACCCCCGGCGTTTGGAAATGCCAAGTCTTTTTAAAAGCTCATCCCGGGCAAGGGGCCAAACAGACTTTCCCGGAGATTTACAAGGTCCCCGGTTTGGCCCCTTCCAAAGGGTTTTGGATAAAACCCTTTAAAATTGGACCCGGGGGGAAAGAACAATAAAGTCGGTTCCATCATTTATTTTTTTTTATTGAAAGTGGGGAAAGAGATAAAAGGGGTTTGACGGTCAGTAAAGTGAAAAAAAAAAAAGAAAATTTTTTAAAGGAAGGGCTAAATTTCGGGGGTTGAGGCCTCTGGGGTGGGTCTTTAAAGTCAGCGGGGGTTTCCCCCGGCCGCCAATCCTTTAAAGGAAAAATGCTTTGAATGAAAAAAAATAAAAGTAAAATTCATCTAAATTTGAATTTTTTAAAAAATTGTTACCCCAAAAAGAAAAGAGTGAGAAAATAAAACGAGGGCGGTTTTTGGGCCCCTTTAATGAAAATTATCAAACAATCCCCCCCCCCCCTTGTGTACCCCTCCCCGGACGATTTATCCCTTTAGGGGAAAGCGCTAAACCAACCAAAACCCGGAAATTAAAAATTGGGCCCCGAAACTCCCCAAGCTGCAAAGACGCGGGAAAAGTCGGGGAAACCCAAAGGGTTTCCAATAATATTTTGAACAAACGGAATGGTCAGCCCCCCAAACCCAAAGGGAGGCCGAAAAGGAGCTGTGGGGGCCGGCAAAAATGTTTTGTTTAAAAAAACATCGTTTCAGGGGAGATGGAGGAAAAAAAAAGTACCTTGTTTAAAAAACCATCGACCCGGG